TCTCCTTAGCTGGAGAAGACACAGAGGAACATCTGGTGTCCTTTAAACTGGGATGAGTGTCATGGTGTTTATAATTTTCCATATTAATTCTTATAAAAATAATTCTGTCATTCAAAACATTATGTACTGAGAGTCTTAAAATTTCTCATTATTCCTATCATGTAATTTACCTAAAGGTCTGTCACTCAGATTCAGGATGTCTCATTTTAATTCATATTAATGATTACTCAAAGAAATAGCAGTCTTTGGTTTAATATTAGATTTTAAGACTGAGCATCATTTCTTGTATAAGTTAAGTGAAGACAGCTGTAGACTGATAGAAAAATTAACAAGGTCATGCTTCTTTCTAATTCTTTAAATCTGGTACTTTCCTCTATCTCTCTGCCTCATCAGTTCTCCATCTCTTTTTCAAATCTCATTGGAAAACTAATTTCCCCCTTGCCTCTACTGCTCAGCTATTTTCTCACTTCTATTTATTAATTCAACTCTAAATAATACTGGGATGAAGGAAAAGTAATATCTAACATCCTACATATCCTGTCCACTCACTGTCCTATGGAGATGGGTTAATTTTTTATGTGAAAACTGCCTGTGAGCTGCAAATTGAATCTCCCAACAAAATGAAGCATTTTGGCTAAGGGATTTGGCTTTAAATTTCATCAAGAGACAAGAAAGAAAAGAAATATCAGCCCTCTCCTCCAAATCCTGATTCTAAAGATATTCTCTGCTTTCTCTATTTAGAGATTTCACTGCAATGCCTTGGGTTACTGCTTGGGTCCATTCCACTAAAATCCCTCCTCTACAGACAGGTTTCCTTAGCTAATTATATGTTATCTTGTGTGTAACAGGAAATGTAATCCAGCTGGTGTGCTTGGGCCACATGGGAGAACAAATAACAACTTAATACAGTTGCTGATACATGCACAGCTTGGTATGCCTAATACAGGTCTTAGGAAGCATTAATTTTTGATGATTAACTTTCTGGGTTAGGATGGAAAGGGGAGGAATAAGTATTTTCCAGTTCAGCTGCACAACCTGGAGTGCAGCTGGTGAGGTTTATATCCCCTGTGTGCTGTGTTCCCTTTCCCATGAGGGAATTCCTACAGAAGGACTCAGTGTCATTACAAGGCTCTAACAAGGCCCCACTCCTTCATCTGCCTCAAAAACAAAACCCTTTTAGTGAGAGGTAAAGAGATTATGATGCCCTGGAATCTTGCAAATAGTGCAAGCTTTGGTCAGTGTCTGAGTAATAGCTTAAAGTATAAAAGAAAAATTAATTGCAATTAGCAATGGCAATGAGATTATATAAATGAGTTCAGTTTTTAAAGGGAAAGACACTATGGCACACGAGAGATTTTTTTTCTTTTAGAAATAATGTTTGTGGATGATATCAAGAGATCATAGAATATAATGGGGCAGACACCCTATATCAACAGAGATAATTTGCAATGTTTAGTATTTTGAAACCCCAAAGAAGGTCTATGAAGAAATGTTTTTATGAGCATGCCTTAGATCTCCAAGGGCAAACATTTAACTGGTCTTCTGTGTGCTGCTGTAAAGACTCATTATCCAAGGCATAGATTTCAGAATGATTCATAATCTACCTGAAATCAGGTCTTTCAACTACCAAGCCTCAACAAGGCAATTATTTCAGGATCATAATATTCTCTGCCTGGTTATGTCACACAACTATTCAAACAGTGGAAAATCCTTTCTCTTTGCTGTGACAGAACTCGGAGAATCTTGGACTGAATGTCGAGGAATTTTTGTTCTCCCAGGTCAAATCAGCTCTCTAATTATGTCCTAGGTCAGATTTTTGTTCACTGCATTTTTGGCTGAAAGGCTGCAGAAAAAAAAATGACCTCTTGTCAGACAACTACACAAAAATGTACCAGTGCACTCATAAATAAGAAACTACAAATCTGTACAACTGGCTCACGATGAAATTTTGTTACTGACCCAAGATTTTCATTTTTAGAGACAATATTTCCTGAAGTTCTGAATGTTTTACAGCAATTCCCTGGAGAAATGAAGGTCATATAGGAAAAGGTGCTTTAAAGCAGAAAAATTATTGAACTGCTTTATTGTACTTTGAAATTAATGTATGATTCCTTATTTGTAACTTATTGAGACCTCTGGATAACTTTCCTTCCACACTTTATTTCTTTATAACTTGGTAGTCATTATCAGAAGAATGTTTTTGACAGAGAGGACTTGATCTTTTGATAGTTCTCTGTGAGTAATCTGTATTTTACAAGAGTATAAATGTAAATTTCTTGCATAATTGGCACAATATAGCCTCTGTGTGCTTGTTCTGGAAATGCAAGGAAAGATGGATCTTTATGTTCCATGCTCATCATCATTAATTTGTCTTCCTTATGAAATTGTTGGAAACTGCCCCATTTTCTGGAGTGCTTACAATTTATTGGGCAGCTATTTGATTTCTGAAGTTCACATTTCTTCCAGGAAACCTTGGGAATTAAAAGCAGGCTGCTCCCCTAATGTCCTCACCAATGATGTACTGACAATTTTTCAAATGTCAACAAGAAACCTTAAAAACGATAGCAGTAATACTTGTAAAAGTTTAAAATACTGCATAATTCTTCAGCGCTTCAAGAAGTTAAGAAACTGATATCATCAGCTGAATTTGAGGGATTGAGTGGTTGTATTTGATGGTAACATTCAATTTCTTATATTGTTTATCAGAACAAAACCTATCTTTATTAAATGCAAATGACAGCTAGAAAGTGATAAAAATGGACTGCAAAAGTTGTTCCATTTTTCTACCTAGTGTGTTTATTAGTAGCTAAGACTACTGTTTTCTGCCTTTTTCTTGACTCCCTAAGACATTAATAAAATTTCTGACCTTTTCATATTTAACATATTCTTCAACTTTACCTGCATTTTTTTGCTCTCTGTTAGAGGGCTGTCTTTGTGATAAATTCATACTAGATCCACTAGAAAATTATTTCACTCTTATCATATTTCCTGTGAGCATGCAACAACATGCCTATTTTGTCACTTCTGCTGAGAACAGAAATGCTGATATTCCCCTGTTTCAGAGTTCCTGGAAAGGCTGAGAGATTACAGTGCCACTGGCTACATCTAGCCCTGTCATAACACAAACTATGCTTTTTAATATACAGAGCTCCACAGGGAAGAAGAAAAAATGAACTGGAACTTAATTGTGCATATTAATATTTTCTGGCTTTGAGGTAGGAACCATCCCTTTTTCTTCCTCAATATACAATTTCATTTGCATTTGGCTACTACACTTATCCAGTGTTGTAATGTATGCTTCTTGATTTAAATATGATTAAAGCAAGATTTAAATATTATTAAAGTGGTGTGAAATAATATTTTCCAATTTAATGCTGTAAATAAGCAGACTGACTTGCAGTACTGAATTATTCACCTCTCTGATCAAGAACCTGGTCTCCAACAGAGGTCTTGCAAATTACACCTGTGCCACAGCACTGGAAGGTGCCAGCAATGCATTTTATCTCCCCTGACCTCAGAGAAAAGAGTGTATAAAGAGAAAATGCTCCTTATATAGTTTAAAAAGTGAACACAGAAAATTGTTCTCTTTTTTTAATAGAAACAGATAAGTGTGGTTTAAACTGTGTCTAGCAAAGGGTCTTAAAGCCTGTGCATGTAGTCTTGCAGCACAATAGTCAAGGCTAAGGAAAAGTAGACCTCTAAGAAAAAATTATTTGCCTTGTCACTCAGCACTGACTGCTCTTGGTACATAATCAATTGAGAAAGGATTGTATTAAATACATATCTAAGATTTATAACTTAACATCCATACAAATGGCTACAGATCTTTGGAACTGTTCCTATTTGATTGAATAAAATCTCACAATTTGTTTTGTTTCATTCACCTCTTTAATATCAACAAAGAAAAGAAGTTCAAGTCATAATGGGGCTTACTATGATAATGGATCAGAACCTGAAGGACTTCCACTAGAGTCGGAAAATAGGGTTCCTTGCTTTGGCTTACCAAATATTCTAAGCAATCTGTCTCCTCCTTCTAGCTGTCCTATTTAAATGATTCAGAGTTTTTTCCCAGTTTACCCTTTCTTCTGCATCATTAAAGCTGCATCATCTCAACAGGGAAGTGCAGTCAAGGAATAAAATCTCAGATATTTACAGAGCATAATATCCCTAATACTTTCTTCCATGACTTGGTTTGTATTTCTGTTCTTTGTGATCCTCATACACATCAGTTCCACTGTGACTTCAGATGGGGGCAGGGAAACAGCAGGGAACTGTTTAAGGTACAGACACCAAAAATTTCCCATCCGTGTCTTCAGGATTGAAGGCACTGGTCAGCACAAAATTTTTTTACTGGTGCCAGGCCCTGTAGCAAATGGAAATGACCAAATATGTTTTGTGCTTATGGAGAAGGAGGCTTCAATTTATGCTTTTCCAATACATGCTGTGTGTGCACCTTGTACCTTTGCTTGTAATGCTTGTTGTAGCTCTCTTCTGTGTGAAATTGCCTAACTTTAACAAAGCACCAGAAATCCAATAGTTTCTCTTGTAACCTTTTCTAGCCCTCTAAAAAATTCTGGTGCACCTATCCTTTAAGCACATACTATTGCTTTATTAAGCAATAATAAATAAATACATATTTTGCCTGAAATTGAAATCACATTCCCACTCACTTTAATTCTGTTGTGTGTCACTCTAATGTGAAGTTTTTACAGTCTATAAATCAAAATGTATTGAAGCATGTGATCCATGTTTGTAAATGGAGTTACTATGAGACAAGTAAATGTACAATCTGCTTGCTGCTCTACTCGATTCTGGTGTGAAACAAGACAGTCATTAACAAGTTAGAAGCAACAAAAAATCAGCACAAAATAAAACGTCTGGCATACACAGCATTGTATGTGGCACCAAGTGAAAAGGTTTTTTTTTTAAATACTATTAAGTATACAAAACACATTGCTTTTTAGGATCTGAGTGTGGGTGATGCTGTAAGTGAGACCTACTTTCTCATAGTACTTGATCTCGTAGTCCAGAATTGCTCCATGGGGAAAGTCCGGCTCTTGCCAGGAGAGGGCAATGCTGTTTTGGGAAGCCCAGTCCTTCCTTACCATACCTATCAAGGTGGGTGCTGAAAGGGAAAAGGATAACTAAGGGTTAAAGACGAAGCACACGGTTTATCCTTCCAACCTCCTGTCTGAGGATACCAACCCGAGGTAACTTGGAGTGACCTCCAGACCGAAAAGCATGACAGATGGCAATTCTCAGGGAAACCATATAACCTGGAATTAATGTCTCAAGTACACGCTGGTAACTCCTCTGCTGAAGCACACAGCAGCTTCTGGAAAATGGCTGTGTGCAAAAATACAGAAAGAAACTGGGCTGGGTGGGCTCTGCCCCAGCCAGGCAGCACTGCTGGCTCCAGGGACACCGTGCCCAGAGCAGAACCACATTGCAGAGGCAGCAAATTCTGCATGCTGGTTAATCTTCATTAAATGTTATGATTCAAGTGTTTAGGATGTACATTCTGTTTACTCTCTGGGGTGAAATAAAGAGACACAGCTCAAAACAGATGCAATGAATTCCTTTCCTGGCAAGCCCTTTGTGTGCACCAAGAGCCAGATCCTTCAGGAGCTCCTAGATGGGATTGGGGTATGGGCAAACTGGGGCGAAAAATCAGCTTCTGGAAGGGGACCACCATGCATGGATGCACCCAGGAGCCAAATTATCTCTTTCTGGGGTTAACCAATTTTAAGAACCAGTTTTTCTGCCTTTTAGGAAAAGAAGGTGCACTATTATCTATGCAATGATTTCAAATGGTGCAAAGATTGTGTTCTAGAAAACGATCTTTGCTTACTTTATTAATCTGGTCAAGCATCTAAAAATATTCTCCACACACTAATGTGTGTTTTAATAGTATTGATGTGCAGCCCTCCCAAATGTTACAGCAAACCCAGTAATATTATTCAACAGCCCTGAACACAACTAACATCAACAATCCAGCTACCATAAGTGCTTCACAGATTTCACTATTTGTCTTCCCACTAAAAAAATATCAGTTTATTACACACCCTCCCCCATTCATCCCTCTTCTGAATCTTAACTTCTTCCAAGTTTCCATGGAGTTGTCTCCTAAAAATAACACATTTTTATGACTTCTGGTTTTATCTTTTGAACAAAAAAATCTCCCTAGGAAAATGAAAAGAGAATCTGCTTCTAGTCACAAAATTTCACGCCTTAGTTTTCTTTCCTGTAAACATTTCAGGAGATTTAAGAAATGAAAACAATAAATTCTAGAATGCAAACAAACACTGAAGAAAACAAAACTGTGTGTTTGTATTTGAAAAAAGGGAAACTCTACACAGAGACGTGCACATTTTTCTCTGTGATAATGCATTTATCTGAGAGAGAAAATTAACTTCCATCCAGTCTTACCTTTGAGTAATTATTCTATGGGAAAATAATTTTGTCCTCTCTGATGTGAAAAAATCCCCAACTCAACACCTAACACCAGAAAAAAAACCCTAACAAAGTGTAAGGTCTGACACAGGAAACTTCTACACCTTTGTCACTTGAACTACAGGTCTGATGCAAGGATGTCAGAGTGTCAGAGGAAAAAAAAAATACTGCCATGCAGAATAAAGGATTAACCTGGTTTTCAGAAAGCCCTTAAACATCTTAATGTAAATAACTGAACAGAATAAAACACAAATTAATGAATAAAAAGCATTCACAGGATTTGAACCAAAGTGTTATTCCTGGGTAGGTAGGTATAACTACTCCCTTACCTAAAACAAAATTTTTGCTCTTGAAACTGAGGGTAAAGTTGAGCTCTCACAATATTTTTCTGGGGTACAATCAACTTCTCCAAGCATGACACAAAGTCATGTCTGTTTAAAAGAAAGCAGGACTAGCAAACATGGATTTGTAATTGCTAAACAGTGACCAAGGGCCTAGGAAGGCACTGCTCACACAAATTGTTTTACTATTTGCTATTTTGAGTCATTCACTGGCATTGAGCTGTGATTTACAGATGGGTCTGAGGGAGCTACAGCAACCTGTCAGATACATCTGGTGCTCCCTGTGTGCCTGCTTAGAGGTGATGAGCATCAGCTGGGCCACCTTCCCAGCACTCTGCAGCGTCATCCCACAGCATCTGGGAGCTCACTGGTCAGACAACCCAATCCCAAGCAAAATTATTAAGATTGATGACAGAAAACACCAGGTTAAGCTGTAGACAAAATTATATTCTTGGCTCTTTTAGGCTTATAAAATATACACTGCTGATATAACATGTCTTCAAATTATAGCCACAACTTTAGAAGCTTTTCTTATGTACTGCATGAAGGGGATTTTTCTTTGTGTTCCAATTTCCAAATTTATACAGCAATTCATGCGTGTTTTCAGCCTGAGCTCAACACCATAATTCTTCCATTTGATGAAGTGCAGTTCAAAAGCACTGTCGTGGTGCATTGGAAGATCCCCTCAAAACTTCAGTATATGAAATAACCCCAGCTGTCCTCCTGGGAAAGAACTCGGTCTGAAATTAACAGAACAAAATTACTTTAGCTCTCCCCTAAACCACTTGTGCTTGACCTACACTTGAAACCAACAAGCCCATACAGCAAGGCTCACATCACACCTGTGGCACTGTGCCAGCACTGAATCCTCTAAATCTAAATGCAGAAATGTGCACATAAAGCTGTGAATACGAGAAGTGAATTGTTGTTTTTATCAAGTAAAAAAAAAAGAGTGTACTTTTTAACAAAAAAGCATAGAAGAATCTCCATTGACCATTTCCTGTATGTGCAGAAGGATGATCCTGTTTTTGGCAGATAGGATTCCAGTCAGAAAATTATTGCAGGAAGAAACAGACAAATAAAACCAAGTAATTAAAAGTACAGCTAGCTGAGTTTCTATTTCTTTTCTTGTGAAGTGCTACTAAAGAGCACTCATGTCTGTAGAGAAATTTCTGCTCCTTATAACTGTTGCTCACCAGAGCAGAAGTCAATTAGACCTTAGAGATCCTATCCACTTATTGTTAAAGCTCTTTTTAACCAGAAGATTGTAAGATAGGTAAATCCTATTTTCCCATTCCTAAAAGCTGCTCTAATGTCCCTGTGATGAATCAATGGGAAGTTCTTTTAATTAGTTGTTTCAAATTCAGTAGCTGCAGGAGAACTCTAATATGGTTACCCACCAAAGCCATTTGAAAAAAAAGAAATGCTTAGAAGAGCAGCATGGGTTTTAATCACTTTAAGGGCAGCATTTTCTTGCCATTGGTCCTAGGCTGAAGGGTGATTTCTGGCTCTTGAGCTCAGCACTGATCTGTGTTTTGTACAGGGGATTCTTTGTACCATCTGTTTTCTTCTACACTGTTATAAATTTCTTGAATTACAATGAGTCATCTACAATGTGGTGAGCTCCTCATTTAGTCTAGTCCCATAAGCTTCTTGGACTTTTCAAATTTTTTATAGAAAAATGGAAGTGCATTCTTTAATTCAGAGTGAACTGATTTTATTCTAAATTCTTTTGGCTTCTCTTTTTCAGATTCCTTTTTTTCTCATGCGATACAGGACAGAAAATGTGTATATTAAACAATGACTGGATCTAAATGTCTTTTCCCTAGATAATTTCTTTATCTGAGGCTGACTTCCATTATCCATAACTGTCTGATTTTAAAATAAGTGATCTGTAGGGTTGCTGAAGCTTTTTTTCCTTTAGTGCACTTTCTGATTCTGCTATTTCTTGTTTCACAAGAAAGTAGGCAAAGAAATGTCTCCTGTTTCCAGGACTGAACAGCTTTTATAGGATGCCCATTCATGGTGGGGAAGCTTCAGACCCTACAGCAGCTGATGACCAAAGCTCACGTGGTATCTGTTTATACATGGAATCTTTCACCCCTTCATATCTCAATTCGAATCTTATTTATTTGGCGAAGAGAAATCATGACAGCTCAAAGGCCTCTCCCGTCAGTCACTTTCTTGTCTAAAAAATTCTACCATCAAATAAGAACAGCTGCACCAGTTTTGTCCTCCTCCTTCCTTCCCCCTGAATTGTATCTGAATTTTGCCCAAAGCCAATGAAGTGCCAGCAGATACAAATTTGGAGAGGAGAGAGTGGAAATAGGATCTGAACTGTATAGATGCTGTTGGGAGCAACTTCATTCCTTTGGATGCCATCCTCATGAGAAGGTTGTGGGTCTCAGTATGTAAAATATTGGAGTCTCAAGATGTAAAATAATACCCTTTGGGATCATGTGTTTAATTCAGTTTGTTGTTTATATACCTCTGCCATTAGCAACAATAGTGCAAATTTCATAATTAAATGTTATTCTTTCCTTGAGACCCCTGCCTGCTTCAAGGTGCAGGAGAGATCACACTCACCAAAATATAGGGATTTGTCATCTGTTTTCTGAGCAGGGGTTTCCCTTTAGAGGAGGGAATCCACCTTTCTCCTTGCCTCTTCCTCCTCTCGTATCTCAGTCACTTCTCAACTGCAGTGACTGCAGTTTATTTATGGGAAAATACTGACTAAACTCTACTCAAAGCCCTTGCTTCTCTTTCAAAACTCATTAATCCCCGTAGGTTCACCCTACAGAGGAGGCAACGTGCTTTAACATCCTGCAAGGAGCCTGCATTCCTCCTCTGGGGGAATAAGTTCTTTCAGTAAGAGAAGGACAGACAGTTGAGGGCTGGAAGAAATATCAGTGGTGTAATGAGTAATTTACATTGACTGAGTTGGGTCAGAAAACAAAAGAAAACTGTTTTCTTGGTCATGAAAAGGAAAGTGCTTCTTCAAGCTTCAATTACAGGTTAATGGCACAAATTAAACCAATTATGCTTTAATTAAACAAATTAAACCTCTTCAAGCTTCAATTACAGGTTAATGGCACAAATTAAACCAACAGTAAATTATGCTTAACCCTATAGAAGTTATAGCTATCTAATAATTCCAAGCCCATTAAAAAAAAAAAAAAACGTTCAGAAATAATGAAACAGAATAGAAATGTATCAAGGTCCAAATCTGAAGTGTTCTTCCAGATGGTAAAAATACTCTTTGCACCCTTCCTATGCCAGAAAATGCTATTTTAATTTCACAGTGTTTCACCAGCCTACACTCTGTAACTAT